ACCAAGACAATAAAGGGAACCACATGGGTGGCATTTACTACAGGTCACTTGATCAAGGGCAGCCTATTGACAAAGGCTTCTTGCTCCAGCCACAGGAGGCATCGCACTTGCAGGCTCTCATCCTGCTGGAAGACTTCAACCACCCTGCCTTCTGCTGGGAAAGTAGTACAGTGAGCTGTAGGCAATCCAGTAGACTCCTGAAGTGCATTGAGAATAATTTTTCAGGCCAGGTAATAGACAGGGCCACCAGAGGGGATGTGATGCTAGACTTGCTGGTCACCAACACAAGTGATCAGGGCCATCAAGACTGGAGGCAGCCTGGGCTGCAGTGATTGCACACTGGTGAATTTCACAGTCCTGAGGCGTATGGGCCAGGAGAAGAGTCAAGTCAGAACCATGAATTTTAGGAAAGCAAACTTCCAGGTTGTCAAGGAGTTAGTCAATAGGACCCCTTTGTAAGCTGCTCTGAGGGACAAGAGAGCAGAAGAGATCTGGCAGATCTTTAAGGATGCCTTCTGTAGAACACAAGAACTAGCGTCCCCCAGCAGCAAAAGTTCAGGCAAGGAAGAGACCAGCATGGCTGAGTCAGGACCTGCTGCTCAAACTAATGGGCAAGAAAGAAATCCACAGGCAGTGGAAGCAGGGACAGGTGTCCTGAGAAGTGTAAGGTGTCCCAGTTGTGTAAGGATGGGATGAGGAAGGCCAAGGGAAAACTGCAGCTGAACTTGAGAAGGGTCACAAAGAGTAACAAGAATGGCTTCGACAGGAGCGTCAGCCAAAAAAAGAAGGTCAAAGTGTTTACCTCCTCGATAAGCAAGGCTGGCAAACCGGTAACAAGGACGAGCAGGCTGAGGTACTCAACAATTTTTTGTCTCAGCTTTCACTTTCAACCTCTCTTCCTACATCTCTTGAGTGGATAGACTGTAAAACGGGGCTGGGGGAGGCAGGCCTCTCCCACCATAAAGACAATCAGCTTTGCGACCACGTGAGGAATCTGAGCATATGTGACGAGATGCATCCCAGAGTCCTGAGGGAATTAGCTGATGTCGTTGCCAAGCCGCTCTCCATGATATTAAAAAAATCATGGCAATTACAAAATGGAAAAGAAAGTGCAGCCTTCCTGTATTTGCACAGCCCCTTACACTGGTTAGGGCTGCATCTACTCCCTGAGCAAGTAATTGCCAAAAATTGCATGCTTGTGTTTCTGTATCTTCTGTGTTTTCCTAGAGTTTTGTGATTACCTCTGATTTTCAAAAATCTCCTGTGATTTTGAAGAGTAACCCTCTCTTGATAACTCCTGAATGACTGCTATAAATTAAGTGCCATAGGGATTTTCAGGAGGACTGTGGCATGCTGCAAAATGGAGCTGCACATTGTATTTTTAATGAGATTCCAGGCTAGAGCACTGTGCATTCATCAAATTCTTCATAGACTGGTAAATAACCTTCTGTTACTCCCAAAAACAAATGTGGAAAGTTGTCTGCTTCTTTACTCCAAGGAGCCCTCTCTTGGCATTGGTTTGCTCTCACAATTGCTCTGTGTCAGTCCATGTGGTCTGCATTGTGAGACCTTCCTTTCTGCAGCTAACACACGTCGTTGCTATTGCTGAAATACAGTTTAGGGTAAAGGCCATTTAGTCAATGTCAGCATTCATTCGGAAGAAGTTTAATTTTAGCATTTTCTGTGCTTGGTGCTGCCAAGTGCCAGGCTCCCTGATCCTGATTAGCAAAGCATTTAAACTTACCCATGAAGCTCTCCATCAGTCCTCACATTGATATCAGTGGAGCCAATTACACACTTAAACTTTCAAAAGATGCTAAAATGATTAGGTTGGGGGTGAGAGCACATCAATTAAAGAGAGAGTTCTTTGTTCTCATATATGTGGGGAATCAGACAAAGTGAGAGCAAGTGTATAGCACACAGAGAACACAGAGTCAAGTTTACAGTAACATAATCATCACTACTGGAAATTGTAAGAGGTTTTCTTTTAAACCACTATTTTTGTAGAAGAACCTTAGTCTACTTATAATTAAGTCTTAAAACCAGGGAGCCATCTAAGCTTCATAGCTGGCAATTTGAGGTCTTCCTGTGAATATATTTTCCTATATCAACACTAATTTATTCTGGGGGGGGAAAAAAGTTTACTATTATAAGAAAGATCTGTTTCCTATGGAGTTTCTCTTGAAGTGCAGACAAAAATAGGGCTTAAATCTAAACTGAAATTGCCAGTATGGATTCTGAATTGTAGGTTTCTTTGTAAAATGATCCAAATTCAGACTAGTCAAAAAATGTAAATTCTTCATCTGAATGGGATATTGCCACTTACATCGATTTAAAAAAATGTGCAAGAAGCATTCAACTTCTGATGGAGCCTTGGTGAATTTCCTTTATCTTCCTGTGAAAAAACATGCATACCTTCGGCTGGCACATGCCAGCAAATAAATGCTGTGAGTGTTAACTTTTGTGAACTAACTGGATATCTGCATGCAAGTAGATGTTTTATGGACTCACATTTATGTAGTGGCAGATTAAGTATTTGGCATGGACATTAGGGACCTATTTTTAAGTATTCCTCTGTTTATTTTTCTTTCAAATGCTGCTGCAGTAACAAGTTACTTGCACTTAACCAGTGATTTTGTCTCTTTCCCCAACAGACTAAAAACAGAGAGTAGATATAAAGAGAAATTATAAGAGGCAAAAAAAACTTCCATTCCCTAAAAAGGGAAGGGAAACAACTTGCACATTTCTCTGTTTGCATGGCCTCTTATACTGGTTAGAGCTGCAATCATTTATCTTACATGTGTTAAACAAAGTGTACAGTACAAATGGGTTACTGTGCACTCTGTCTGCAGGTGAGAGAGAGAGCAGATGCAGGGTGGATGCTGTAACATGCACTGCCCAAAGAATCAGGTGTTGACAGAGTGGCTGTCTTGCTCCTGGCATCTTCCCAGGAGTGTATGGGAGAGGACTTTGGGAACCTCCTAGAGCAAATCTGTACCTGCTCTTTGCCTTGAGGGGGTGGTGACTGTTCATGAGGATGATTTTTTTCTCAAATCAAAGAGAATACTTTTGAAAAGGCAACGGGGGAGCTCCTGGGAAGCAACCTCAGGGTGGCTTGGGCTTGGAGGGTTGAGTCAGGGTTTGGGAGGGCAGAGTATGTCTCAAAGACAAGCAGTGCGTTTAACATCAGCGCAACTGCTGAAGTTTCCAAGTTACACAGGTATTTGCATACACATATAAACTGAGACAAGTTCCTTGGTCAAGTAAGATGAGATTAAAGAAAAGAAAATATATTGCCTGGGCATTTTAAAGTGTCTGTGTCAAAGGTTGACTTGGCACAGTCCCTGACAGCACTTATGACTCGTGCTTGCAAGCTTGGCTGTTGAGAATTAGTATCAGAAATGGGATTTGTCTAATACACATTGACACTAGGTGAGAAGGATCATTTTCCTGATTGTGTATGGGATAGTGTCTCAGGCACGGGTGTCCTGTCTTGTTTTGGTTTTTGTTTTGTGGTGTTTGGGATTTTTAATTTATTTTTATTTTACAATTTTCTTTCTCCTTGTTTCACTTGTTTCTGGCAATGCATTTCAGGTTTCTGTGACTTCTGTATTCCATTTTACTCTTCTAATCTTGGTTTTGATGTCTTAGTAAAGCCTCCAGGACCAGGCTTCTGTTTTCCTGTAATTTATTTACTGTTACCTTCTTTTTCTACACGTTGTTTCTTTTGCACTTTTTAGGCCTCTTTGTGCATTTTTATCTAGGAGTTGGACTTGATGATCCTTATCCCTTCCAACTCATAAAATTCTGTGGTTCTGTGATTTCTTTCTTTTTTGTAGAGAAGGTTGTGTTTTAGGCCAAGCTCCAGAGAGTAATTTTGAAATAATCTGATTGGGAATGCTGATACATTTAAACGTTGCTTTACATTTAGCTCTTCCTTAAATCAGCAGCCTTGTACACATTAATATTACTACATAAAAATGTCTTTCTAATTTTAATGTTTGAAACCAAAAGTGCTTTGGAAGTTTTTAGCTGCAATGTCTTGTTTTATGTATTGTTTTGAAATTTAAATTAAATTAAAAAACTTTGATCCATAAAACAACTAAATATTCCTGCAAAATATTTCTGCATGTGTAAATTATCTATCAACAGCTATCAGTTCTATCAACAGCTATCTGCTTTATGCTGATACAACATCTTCCTGTTAAGATTTCCGATAGTTTAAAAATTGTGATTAAAACCACTCTGAGACATAGGAAGTCATGTTTGTGTGAGTACAGTAGGATATCAAGAGGTTAAATGACTTACCAGATGAGTGGCAGTCTCAGTCTCCTGACCTAGCCCCAGAACTGCCATTCCTTTCTAAATAAGAACTTTTTCCAGGGATGCAAAAGCAAAGCCTTTGGCATTTATTATTCTGATGTGTGTGTGTTCTCAGGACATTACATTTCTGTGGATACATCTTACGAGGGTGAGAAAGCAGTGCTGTACAGCCCAGATCTGTACTCCGAGGAGTGGACCTGTGTCAGACTGATTTATCAGATAGCAACGACTTTAGAGACTTCACCTGATCCCACCAGGCTCAACCTGTACCTGAGGCAGGAAGGAGAAAGTTTTGATCGTTTGCTGTGGTCAGCCAAGGAGCCCTCAGACAGCTGGCTCATAGCTAGCTTAGATTTAATGAACAGCACAAAGAAGTATAAGGTAAGCCCAATTTTAGTAGATGCCACAGACTTTCTGGTGCATATGTTGGAGTGTACAGACTTCTTTTTTGACCTATTCAATCTCTTTTGAGCCCTGTTCTTCGCTTTCATCTCTAAGGCTGGCAGCACATCAGTCAGTTGACCCCTCTGTCCCCAGCACTCATGAGCAGGGCTGGCATGAGGCTGTGTTCTGACCAGCAAAGGTGTGGAGCAGCTCCCGGGGATGCACAGCTGGCTGAGCCCTACAGTGAGGATGCTTCACCTCCTGGCATCCCTGTGGAGCAACTGGTGCCATGTAGCAGATATGAAACCTCCCCAGTTCTCGACCTGCAGCTGCACTCACTCATTCCTGCCCACTGTGCCTTTCAGGAAAGAGTCAATTGCTGACAGGAGAGTATTTCTACCCAAAAATCATCACATCGCATCACTCACAATAACATCTTGCGTAACCACAGCTGAGGAATATGGAATTCGTTACTCTTAAATGAAGTGTGGGAATTTTTTGCCTTGTTTCATTGTCCTTCAGTGTGTCTTCTGTGCACAAGTAAGAGCATTTGCTCTGTCTTTAATGCATTCTGCCAAGCTCTTTCAGCAAAAGCACCTCTCCTGACTGTAAGGATGATGAGCCCCCCACATGTATTTAATTCATTCTCCTGCTTATCCTGTTTAAATATTCAGGATAATGAAACCCTAAAATTTACAGCTTGATTTATATTTTACAGCTTGTACTGGAAGGTGAAATGGGACAAGATAAATCTGCCAGTATAGCAATTTTTGAAATCAAAATAACTCCTGGATATTGTATGGGTAAGTACTCAACACCTATATTCTCTGCATAAAAAGAAAAAAGCCTTGTTGGCAGTTATAAAGCTGGATTAAAGGTCTGGGTTTGGAGAAAAGGCAGTGGCTTTTTCCTTATTGACTGCCATGTTCAATATAGATGATTTTTAAGGTAAGGTTACACACACTAATTAGTGGAGGTTTTTTTCACCTGTCTCTGTGATATACATAGATATATCACATAAAATAATTAATTCCAAAGTTATTTATTGTCCAAGCAGGAATAAGGGTTATTTTTTAAAAAAACTTTGCACTGCTGCAAATACTAGACATAACAGTTGCAATACTATTTCTGCTCTCTGCCTGCTCATGCTTCCTTACAGTGGCATCTTGCAGGCTGCAGAGCCAAAACTGTTGATATTTACGGTTTCTGCTATTTCCTCAGGACATTTGCCAAAAACTGCTAATGAAGTTCAAAAATTTCAGTGTCTAGGAAGCTGAGAGACCTTTGCATTTCTGGGGAGGTCTGGCAAATTGTCACAATTCTTTGGCTCTGTGAAGGAAACAAAGCAGTTGCATTACTGTTATGAAATACTAATCCTGTGTTGTTTCTAGCTATCCCTGATTTACTAGTGAAAGTTCTGCTCTAAGCATTTAATACCATGAAGTGGTATATTTTAAATCTGCTTTATTTGGTTCTAAATTACAACAGTCCTATATTGACAAATAATGGAAAAGCAGATTAGTCCAAAGATGATGGAAATGGAAATTTTTTTAAAAAATGATCTAAAATGGGGGCTAAGTTTGCTTCTGTTTATTATGAGCTCATAAGTGCTGTGTCTGGTTTTATAAATACAGGCATTATCTGCACTGCCATATATGAAGTGAGGGCAGTGCTTAGCAATTTGCTCTTGCCATTTCTGTAATGAAAATGTGTGCACTCGGCTGATGGTGTCTGCAATTGCAGAATGTGACTTTGAAGAAAATCATCTTTGTGGTTTCGTGAACCGCTGGAATCCCAATGTCAACTGGTTTGTTGGTGGAGGAAACATTCGCAATTCTCAGTCTATCCTGCCCAAAGACCACACACTTAACAGTGCACTGGGTAAGCAACAAATGTAGAGCAAAAATATAGTGGAAAAATCTGAGTCTGTGATTCATGTATGACTCTCATTCTGGGAGTTATTATTATGTGAGTTATTTATTTTCTCCCAGCATTGCAGGGGGTGGGGTGGTAAGAATCATTCAGGAGATAAAAAGGGGATTAGAAAAAGTTTGGGGTATTTGCAGGTGTTCACACAAAATTTCATGTAAGTTTTATAATAAGGTTGTTTTGCTCTTTGCTAGGATTCAAAGGTACTCAAAGTAAGAATAAAATTTTGAATGAAAAGGGGGAATATTCACCCTTCTGTGTATTTTAAAAGTATGGGCCACACTAAGTTTTAGATTCTTGTACATCTGGCAGGGATTTTCTTTCCCATGGCTATCGAGAAAGTTGAGTAGGAAAACTTAGGTATTGAAACATGCTTGGAAACTCTCTGATTAAATTGCACAGTTTAGGAGTTTTGTTTCTTTCAGTCTAGTGTGATGCTGTTAGTACAGCCCCTCAGAGGCAGAATGCTCTAAAGACTTACAGGAATTTTGGCACTTGCCTTGTACGAAATCCTTGTCCTGGACACATCACTGAGAGGAGAGCTTTTTACATAGCCATGGAGAAGGATGTACCACAGCAGGTGATGGTCAGGACACCTGGCTGCTGCAACACACTGTGTGTCAGACAGTGTGATGCTTGTGACTGTGCAAGGAATGGCATCATGAAAAGCAGGGTTGCTCCTCTTTCCTTAACTCATGCCGCTGTGCCTTTTTATTTATTTCACAATTATGTGAGTTGAGTACAGAGTGTAATTCCGTCCCTGCATCATGTCACAGCACCTAAATGCTGGTAAAATTTTGATGGAAGTTTAACTTACCATGACTTCAACAACAGACAGTGGGTCAGCCTATTAAATGTGTACTGTGACAGGAAATGCTGCCAACTGGGAGGGATGTTTTCTTGTAGCCACAGCATTTCTATTTCACACCAAACCCTCACTGCTGACCATTGACTGAGAAGGCCACAGGAAGCCTAAAGTCAAGAAAGAGCCTTCTTTTTTGCAAGAATTGAACTATGGAGGTGCATCAGCCAGGGAGATAATAGCTAAGCTATGAAATGTGCTAAAACTGTAGAGTAAACGTGAAGCTGAGAACTTCTCAGGCAAGTGTCACTTAAGTCACCTCTCCCCTGGCAGTGGGCAAGCTAGAGGAGACCCACAGCCAAGAAAGCCCTTTCACCTCCTTTCCCCAGTGAAGTGAGAAGTGACATTTACAGCTTTGAGAACACTATGAGCTAATTATCTTAGTGATGCCCATACAAACCTAATGGCACAGTTTGCAGTGTCCATGCTGAAGTACTCTGCCAATTTGACACTTCATTCTCTTCTGAGTTTTCTACTTGTGAAGAACCATTTTTTGATTAATCATATACTGTTTGGTGCTGTGTTTCTGGAAGTGTAGAAGAAGAAAAACTAGAGATGCACAGCATATTTGTGAACATGAATGTAGCCTGTTTAAATTGAGATTGCTCTTCCAAAATCAAAGTCTTAGAAGCTGTACCCTTTGAAAATCCTGCAGGTCGTATTGGCTGTTGAGGGGGAGGGAGTGTGTACTTATGGGTAATGCACTTTTCTTTTTATTAATGTCTCCCAAAAGTCTTCTTTAAGGTTTTACAAAAAACCTCCAGTCTATTCAGTAAAGATATATAAACCAAATCCTAGATGGACCAAGCAGAATTATACAAGCAGTGAAATATGCAGATTAAAGGTTATTTGCCAATTAATTAGATATGTTAAAAGAACTGCTGTGTAAAATGTGAGAAAACACGACTTATAATCTTGATCATTTACTTCAGTTGCCTCAGTAAAGGTTGCACTTTTCAGTGCCTTTTTTTCAGAAAAAAGACTAAATACTATACTGAGGTGTTGGTAGGCAGACAATTTACACAATTGTTACACAGTTTTTCATTTATAGATGGCTCCCAAAATTTAGAGTTATTACTTTTCAGATATATATATAAATATTTATTTATAATAATAACAAATATTTAAGAAAGAGCTGAGACTGACTATTTTGCCAGTGGTACCTTAACCAAACAACTTTGGCTTGTACGTAGGAGGAAAGGAGAAAAAAAAATCTTTTAGAATTACTAAAACTTACTAGAAAGCAATCATTGTTGCCAGGACATGGTCTAAGCCATATGTTTATTCCCTGTTCATCTCCTGATACTGTGATATACTATGAGATACTGTGACTTATACTAAGTTTCTTTCCTACTCATAGGTCATTACATGTACGTGGACTCTGTTTATGTCAAACATTTTCAGGAAGTGGCCCAGCTAATCTCACCAAAGACAACAGCCCCAATGTCTGGATGCTTATCTTTTTATTATCAACTTAAGCAGGAGAGCAGCATTGTTTTTACTGTTTACTTGAGAGATGTGAGTGGCTTTTACGAAGAGATCTGGAAAACAGACACTGCTCTGAGTACAGACTGGGCACTGGCAGAAGTTGACTTCAATGCACCGTACCCCATGGAGGTAAAGTAATCCTGCCTGTACAGGCCAGCTATGACTTCCAGGTTGCCTCAGATAAGAGTGCCAACTCAGGCTAAGCCAGGAACATGGCAGTGACCATCCAGTATCTGAAAAATGGTTATAAAGATGCTGGTGATCTGTGGTTTTCTTTGCCCTTTGCATAAGTGTCAAGGAGGGATCACTTTCCATACTTGTGCTTGATTTTGAAGTCAGGTGTTGTGGTGCTTGATCAGAATACCTTGGGGGGTTGTAGAGTCCTACTAATGTGAGGTTTCTCAGTTGTGACTGAATAATTTTCTCAGTCCCGTATTTCTGTGACTCCATGGTCCATTTTTGAGGATCATAAAATAATGCCCTGAAGAAGACAATTTTTACAATGTATGTGAGGTCTATTCTCTACCTTAATATGACCCTGCAATTCATGAGATAAAGTTCAGACTTGGGTCCTAATAGTACAGTAGTCCTTAGACGTAAAAGACAACCCTCGATGGTTATTATAATGACTTTCAAGAATATCAGAAAGAAATTGGATTCTCTATTCCCTAGTGTTTACTAAGAAATACCTCAAACTTAGAAGATTGAAATAAAGTGTGTATATATTATATACATACATATATACTTTGCATGTATATTTTATACATATATATGTAATTTATGTATTTATATATGCATACATAAATACTCTTTCTCTATATATATACTTGTAATACTATGATTACAAATAAATTCTGTCTACTTGCTTTAATTCCACCTAAGTTATTTGCTAATTCACCATAAACCTGTAGATTTTCAGAAATTGTGAGGGGTAGAGCTAATTTTCATGAGATGTTACGTAGCCCTTTTATACTCTTAAACGTCAGTGATCAAGTCAACCATTTCAGCTGTCAGACTTCAAGGGAAAAGAGAGTAGCCCTGATAAAGTCTCGTAATATTGAATGGTATGTGAATTACTGGTTCAATACGTACAAAGGAAGAAGACAAAAACAGTCCTAGGACTATCAATGGAAATTAATTAATAATCACTTAGAGCTTGGCATTACTGTGGCTAGTTTTGTGAAAATACCCTCTGATTTCTTAGTGGCATTCAAAAAAACATCCAGAATTTTGGAAACTGTCTACACTGGAATAAACCATAAAACAGAGGAAGTTATACCTCTGGATGAATGCACAGGGTACCCTTGTGATAAGTAGAGTATGCAACTTGAGCCCTCTCAATTAAAAAAGAATATCTTAGAACTACAAGAGGGAGAGATGTGGATAATCAAAAGTATGGAGAAGTTACATTAACGAAATAGCAGTTTTCAGCCCTTAAAATAAAGTTTGAAGTAGAATATGGTAGAGGTTCTTAAAAGGCATGAATAACACAGAAAATATAACTGTGCCCTTTTTCTCATAATTTACATTGCTGTTCCAAATTCTTAGCTACCAGGTAACAGTTTTAAACTAAATATTTTTTCTTATATGACATATCTGTAGAACTCACTTCCACAGCATGCTATGCATGCCATTATTTGGATCAGTTAAAAAACTAATTAGAAAAATTAATGGGAAAGAAAGAATCCATCAGGAATGTAATGTGAGGGAAGAAGAACTGAAAGCCTGCCATTGTCCTCAATTCTCTCTGTAGATGCTCTCTGTTGGAAAAAAGATATGGGGCTAGATGGGCCTTTAATCTGCCCAGTGAATTTTTATGTAATCCAACACAGTAAATATTTTAAAGATTATTTTATAGAAATAAGATTAAACATTGCATATAATTTCTTCAGTTGCTTCAAGAGGGTCTTCCTCTTTGTTTCATCTGGCTAAAGGAGATTGCTCAGGGTTCTTTCACAGCTCTCCTAGTTTGGCTCCCGTCCATAGGCAAGACATCACAGGCATTGCTTTCACTGAACAGGATCTTGCTCTGAAAGCATTTATCCTCATATCCTTGTTTTGTCCCTGGGGTTGCCTTGGGATTCAGGCGTCTTCTCAAAGTTTTTCTGTAACTCAGACCTTTGATACTTAAGAGAAATTTTAAGACACTTCCTGAAGAGTTATAGACTGTCCTCCACTTACTTGAGGAAATCATGTCCTTTGGGAATGACTAAGAACAAATATTGTTTGATCTTTGTGGTAAACAAAGCACAGCAATAGCTTTTCTGGTTCTTAAATAAATTTTGTAAAGGAAATCTTCCCTGCCAGCTGATTCCAAGTCATGGGTTTCAGTGTCTGAGGATGTTTACAGAAAACAGTAAAACTTAATATTTTAATAGGAGAGTAATGAACATGGGGTTTTTAGCTCTTGATCCAGATAGATTTTAGATACAGTAATAATCAGACAGCTTTGGAGTTCTAGTTCGTACAAACTGAAGATTGTGAATACTGTCTTTGTATAATATGGCAGGAGCCTTACTACATCTTTAAAACTGATGCTTCATAAAGCGGCAGAAGAGCTATGTCCCCTTTGTTTTTTCCTTGGCCCTGAGTGGACAAAGATCTGGTGTCGAGGTCAGACTCTGATTTATATCCCTAATAAGTGATATGATATAATTTAATTTATCCTAACATTTACAGTGCTAGAGTCTGTCTGGAACATCCGATCAGAATTCTTTATTTCAAAAATATGTACCAAAATTATTGCTGAGTATATGGCAGATGAATAACAACTTATTATAATTTCTAGGTAGTATTTGAAGTTGCTTTCAACAGTGCCAAGGGAGGTTACGTTGCCCTTGATGACATTTCTTTCTCTCCAGTTTACTGCAGCAATCAGACAGGTATGATGAGCTCTTGTTGCTATTTACTGTCCTTGTTTTCCCCCTTTGCTTTGCTCCTCTGAACTGTCAGTATTTGCAATATTTAGTGCTACCTTCTCAACTGACCAGTCCCATTGGGCTCCTTTTCCTTCTGGTGACATAACAGCAGATAACACTGGTGCCATTCATTTGACCTAGAAACTAGTCCTTAATGCTTCCTTCCAAAGACCTCGCCTCGGGGTTTTGCAACTGGAGTGCCAGACTGAATGCTGTATTTGCATCGCTCCAGGTTTTGAGAACTTACCACGTGCAGGCCTGGCACAGAAAGAGAGGGCAGATTTACCAGGTGTGATGGTATAAGGAAGAAAATGTCCTGGGCTTTTCATTAATGCCAGTGTAGGCATTCTTCCTCATTCCATATGCCCTGAGATGTTCTTCAGAGCCAAAACATGAGCCTTGCCTTCTTGTCTTCACTCTTCCAGGATGTATTACTCATCTCAGACAGTGGCGTGGCTCTCAGGTTTTTATTAGGTTTTCACAGCAGCAGACATCAGCTGAATCCATGTGACCTTTGCTGTAGAGGCAGTTATGGCAAAGGATTTTTTCATTTGTGAATTCAGCCTCTTAAGTAGCTATGTACTGGTTGCTGGCATTTATTTTACTGGGGCATTTAACACTAGTCAAAAGTATATTAGTGGTTTCCTACCTACTCCTTTGTTCATAAGTTTGAATTTTTTGGCTAATGCTTTGAAGTGATCAAGGAAAAAGATGGGGTTTTACCCTCTTTTTACTTGTTTGGAGTATCTGCTAGCTCTGCCTCCACTGCTGAAGTATCACTCCTGAAGGAGGTAGATTCCAGATATGTTAGTAATCCACACAACTCCTGGCTGAGTAAATCTGGTTCATTATCTCCTCAATATCTCTTTCAGTTTTGCTTTGTTTTGCAACAAAAATCCCATGTTGTGTTTGTGGTATTCCAGAGATGGGAGCTGTGTGCTCATCTGTGTTTCCTGTTTTAATTTTCAGACAGTTTATATGTGTTGAGGTATAGGATAAATTTTACAGCATTTTCTGCCCCAATGGTTGAAGTTCAGATTTAATCTGAATGGCTCATAATCTATTCTGAATATGATAGGTTCAGCTACTAACTCTGATTTTGAAGGTTGGTGTGGTTGTTGGGGTTTTTTTCTGTTTGAGAAATGAATGCAAATAATCTGTTTTATATTTTGCTGGAGTACAGCATATACTGCTTGATCCTCAGTTTCAATTTTTCTGTGTAGAGATTGTAAAAAACAAGAGATCTTGCATTCAGCCATAACAGTGTATATAACAGCACTACGTTTTTTCCTTATCTCTTCTGGAAGTTTTGTTCAAAAGGTACCAGAGTGTTAAACTTGCTCAGCAAAGAATCAATTAGAATATGGGTTTAATGCTGCATGGACCTGGTAGTGCTACAGCTGCATTTTCTTTAACTAGGAAAGTAGAGATGGGAGGCCTTGGCCGCAGGCAGAGTAAGACACAAAGTGCTTAGATTTGGCCTATCTGAGGCTGAAAAGACCACAGACATCCCTCCAAAGCCAAAATTTTGCTTCTCCTGAAGCTAACTGCCTGTTTCCCTGCCCCTGCTGGAAATCTCTCTTAGTCCCCATGAAGAAGGGTCACATGTGCTGCTGCAGAGTTATGTACACAGTGTCCTGGATCTGGACTCCTGATGTAGCCAAATTTGCATGATGGCTTTGGATTGTGTCTCTCCTTTCCCCAGCATCTGGTATAAGAGACTGATGAAGCTTTTAAAGTAAAAGTGCTTTACTTAAAAGCACCCCTTCACCATGGGGACTTTTTTTCAGACTAAAGCAAATCCTGATCCATTAATTCAGTATTGCAGGTCAAGAGGGAGGCATCTGCAGGGCTGGGGGACTTAGCTTTGCTTTTAATTGTTCAGCTTTCCTTACTGCTAAAGTGCTGAAATATGTGAGGCAAGCTCCAGAGGTCAGTAGCCATGAGGTGGTACATGAATTAAAAAGTGTTTTACATACATATTTACAGCATTCATTTGCATGCACATTATACATGATTACAAAAGGATTTTTAAAAACTTCTCTTTAAAAAAATATTGAATGTTGATGTCCAAAAGTTATCCCTTTGGAAATTAAAATGAAAATATGATACCCATGCACACACAGGCAGACACTCACACTCATTTTGTCCTAATATCTTTTGCGTGAAGGAGCAGGATGAAAACAAATAGTCTGAATGTCTTTGTGCATTATGTCCTGAAAGAAGAATCTTCTCTTAATATCTGTAGCTCATTTATATTTTGAAGGGGCTATGAAGGAGGTTTCCTCTTGGCTCCAGCAAAAATATAAGAATATAAGACCAATTTGCAATAGAAAATTGATAGTTTGATTTCATTGTGACTTTGTACTATATATGTGTAACATCTCTGCACATGCTTGTCTTCTGTAAAGCAAAGAAAAGTGAACCATAGCGTGCTTTGGCATCATTCTGCTTCAGATATCTATGCTTATTACACTGTGCTCTTCCTAACAGAACATATACATCTATCTTTTAGGAACTCTTTTCGATCCTGCCAATGCAGGCTGCAACTTTGAGGAAGATCTGTGTAATTTTTACCAAGATCAGAAAGATGGCCCAGGATGGAGCAGAGTGAAAGTGAAGCGCAATGTTTATAGAGCAGGAGATCACACTACTGGGTTTGGTAAATCAAAACTGTTTTTCCTTAGAAGACTCAAACATGTATAAAGGGTATATAAAAGGTTATATAAAGGTTAATCTGTTGTATCATTGCTCACTCTGTTAAGTAATGTCACTTGGCACACTGGTTAATTTGCCTCACTGCAACTCTGCCATTAAAAATCAGTGTACACAACTTGGTCCTATCTGGAACCCTAGCTGTGATTCCCCATGTGTGAAGTGGGAAGGTCATGAATAGTCATGTGGGCCCATAAATCAGAGTATCTTCACTATACTGCTCCATAGTCACTGGAGGGATGATTCCACAAAAATATGCAAGTAAATGTAATAATAGCTTAATGCATTGTTTTTACTGTAGTGGAAAGGTGGGCTCTTCCGAGCTTAGGATAGTTGGCATTGCTAAGGGAAAACTGAAATACTGTGTAGTGAAGCCACATAGTGAAAGGACTGCTAACAAGTTCTTAAACTCAGACATCTATTTATGTAGAATATTTATAGTTATTAATCACATGTGGTAAAGTCTCACCTCTTTATACTTGGTGCAGGGAATAATAGGCCTTGTGCCTTACCTTCCATTCTTTGATCTTGCTAGCTTGAAACAGCTAGTTTTCCAGTGAGGCCAGCAGGACAGGGAATTTTTCAGGGTAAATTTGAAAAAGGCTTATTTCTGGTAACTTAGCAATATGCCATTTGAGCTAGAAGTAGACAGGATGCTTTTAAAAAAAAATTGTTATTTCCTGTCAGAGTGTGATAATCTATTTCTTGCCAGATGAAATTGTTTCTTGTAGCCAAAGTCTGATGCAATAACAGAAGCTGCTTAAATAGCAAATCAGCTGTGCTGATAGCATATAAGAAATAATAATTGTGCTGTCTTGCAGGTTATTACTTGTTGGCGAACACAAAGTATACATCACAGCCTGGGTACATTGGACGTCTATACGGCCCTACCCTGCCAGGAAACTTGCAATTTTGTCTGAGTTTTTATTATGCCTTATATGGGTTTTTCAAAATGAGTGGCACTCTTGCAGTTTATATCTTCGAGGAGAATCATGTTGTTCAAGACAAAATCTGGTCTGTCTTGGATTCTCCAAAGGGAGTTTGGACTAAAGCTGAAATCTCCTTCAAAAAGCCTATGCCTTGCAAGGTAAGAGCCAACTCTTCAAATCTGCTAAATCCTGGATGCGGATTTTCCTTGCCTTCTCTTCTCATGGTTCTTTGTTATCTGGGGATTAATCCTAAGTGAGCTATACCTGCAAAGTGAAAAAGTATTCCTCAGGCAGTACCATGGGGACTAGAATGCTTCTTCACAGCCTGGCTCCCATGGGAGCCCCGATACAGGGGCTTCGTACCAGGAATGGGGCAGTGCTTCCTGGTGTCCTCAACTGTAGTCACAATATTGCTGGAGATTTTGCCAGAGGAGCTCTAACAAGAGCCAGTTGTGTTTTGGTTTCTCAGCATGCTCCACATTCCATCATTTTGTTTGTGTGTTTCCTATGTGAGTCACATAATTTTCATACTCAATTACAGATTTTAATTAATCTAAAAAATCACTACTTCTAAGTTCTGATTGAAACAGGGAGCTCATCCTACTTCCCTAAACTCAACTGCTTTATTAGCATATGAAACCAGAATTCAGTGCAATGGACTTCAAGAATTTGCAGTGTCGTGTTGGAGAGGTCACTATGTTATCTCAGCAAGTTAATAAGGCAGTATTTGACATCACCTCCTGAGTAAGTCCTTAAGCTCTTGTTATTCCTCATCTCCGCTCTTCTTACAAAGACCGCCTTTTACAGAGATTTCTGTAGGCATATCTTCTGTGGTTATCCTGAATTCTGTACTGCATTTTCACTATCTGTGAGTCATCTAAGGAGGACCAGATAGATCACTACCTGCTGACATTTAGATTAGTCCAGCTTTTTTTCCCATGTGATAGTACAATGAACATACGAATGAAAGCTTGTCTTGCAACTCAGGCACTTCTAAATCAAAGACAAACATCTTCAGCATTTTGTCCACTACAAATTAGTTTTTGAAATGGCAGTAGTTACTGAGTTTAAATTTTCTTGGAGAAGGAAAAAAAAGGTGTTTATCCTTTGAAGTAAATACACTCAAAAAGTTCACCAAAAACCAGTTGCCTGACTGTATCAATAAGCAAATTTATGCTAAAAATTTCAGTCCTAATTGTTGGCTAGTGTTTTTTCTCAGATACCTTAAAAATTTGATGGGATTTAATGTATTTATGCATAAAACATAACAGAATTTCTAATTCTCTTTATTTTATAGAACTGCACAGCGAGTGCATAATAGATAAGTTACTCATAGTGTCATTCCAGGATATTTGGATAAAAGTATTTTTCTCTTTTTTTTTCTTTTTAATTATGAAAAGTATTGGTTAAGAAGGCGAGCCATTTACTTTTACCATCTACAGTTTACGTATTTCCTTATTGCTTCTGAAAAGGTTCAGTAGCATAATAAACTGCATGAGTAATGATGACATGAGCAATTCTGTTAAAAATGGTTTATAGCCATTGGAGGCAGCTGGGTTTTTTTTAGCTTCAGACATTTACATAGAAAAATCTTTTACAATATGAATTTGCGAAGTACAATTTTTATGTTTTCCTAGAAGTCAGTTTATCTAAAACAGTTGTAAAGAAGTTTACCTGCAATGGAAATCTTTTCATGAATTAGAGTTTTCATGTCTGTAGTTACCATTCTCTCTGTGCTCAGTAACTGATAGGGAGAAAAGCACAGAGGAGAATAAAGAAGTCAAGGGAATGTCCTTGCCGCTTCTGAGCCTGAAGGTCTGCAGGAGGGGAGAAACGCCATGCTCTGCAGCAGGAGGGTTTGTTGGCCTCTGGCAGTTCTGAAAAACCTTCACTGGGTGCTTCAGGTCTTCCGAAAGAAACCTTTCTTTCCCATGGAAACAAGTTGCAGAATGTTTCTGTTGAGGAGGCATTCCTCAAATATCATGAAATGGGAGATGTATTGGGCTTTAGAGAAGTCAGCATGTATTCAGCCTATCACAATTCAGGTACCCCTTAGCCAAATAACTATCTATTTTGCAGGCGATTCAGTTTATGAAGTTTTCCTTTAGATAAATAGTATATGGAAGAAAATGGGTGAAGTTCTGAAATATGTTAAAATGGAAAAGTACACCAAGATATGTTTAGAGATGAGAAGGTAGCATATAAAAGACAAATATTGCTAAAGTTTGAGCGTGAGTCTGCCTGCCATAAGGCAACGGTTAAAACCTAATGTAGTTACAGGTTGTCTGCTTGTAGTATTCACAAGCAGGGTCAAATGAAGTTGCACAGTGAACCTGATTTTGGCTTTTCCTTGCAACCTCATGCCCAATTTTTCAACCTTAATGCTTTAAAAGGTCTTTTCATGCTTTATTTTGTTTGTTTCTTCTTTTCCGCGCCAACAGAAGGAAATAAAAGAACTCTGTGTGGCATTGTAAAAACACTTAGATTAGTTATCTGTGAAGATGTGCCTGCCTAGCACCTAGTGAAATATCTGACAAAAAACACTTATTTCAATGAAGGGTAAGAGTGGAGGTGTATCAGAGCATGTTTTGCCTGACAGCAAGGAGTGGTGGGAACCAGCAAGTTGGTTGGTTGAGAAACACAAGAGAAGCCTGACCTCTTTTGTCCTGCCTCCTCCAACCTTGCTTGTGCCTCTTTCCTCCTCACTGAGGCATCTTTATGTTATCTAACCTACCCCATAGGCAACGAACCACTCCCACCCCACTCCCCATGCCAGTGTTCATCTTACTTCTGGCTTCTGGCTCTGGACAGTCCAATTTCCCCCCCTCTAATCTTGTTTGTGTCCCACTCTGTTTGCCCTGCTTGTCCCAGTTCTTACAAATTCTAGTTTTTCAAAAACTAACGACAGAAAGCACAGTCCTGGCACAAAGACCAAAGTATGACACTTTCCTGCTCCCGCTCCAAAGCCTAGGAGTGCTCAAGCTTTTCACATATATATTTTTTTTAATGGGGGCAAAATAAACCCTTTTTTTCTTAGCCTTGTTCTTGGAAATGATGGAACTTTTTTGGATTAAATCTTCCAAAGCAAACCTGAAGTAAGGAACCAGCATGGAAAGTCTGAGATGAAATAATTGTGTCTTGGCAATGTTATAAGCAAGTGAAAAACAGTCTTCTAGTGGAGAGATGTGGTCTCAAAATAAGATAGGGCTGCCACTTTTGCTCTTACAGATGTAGAGGCCAGTGTGCCTATCGTATTGTTTTCTGAGATGCATCATGTCTAGACATGAATGATAAGTTGTAGGCATGCACAGTAGTTTGGCTGAGCAGCTTCTTGGTTACCAGGTGTGACTTGTAGATTGGGTCAGCGGCTGTGGAAACAGTAAACAGTCTCCTGGCAGTTCCTTAATGGCAGTCATATGTCCTGAAGGTCATAATGGTTTTTCAGCCAGAAAGTGGTTGTACTAAAATACCTGATTACCCACGTCCTTTATCTTTCTCGTACTACGAATACTACTTGCAAAGTTTTGGAAACAATATAAAATCTGTCTGATATGTTTTAATTTTGTTAGCATGTTTCTTTGCATTGGGACAATAAAAAGATACAGATTTTCATCTCTTGGTTTGTGTAATGTTTTTTGCAAGTTCTTTTTGAATTAGCTAACTGCAGTCTGGCACAAGTTGATGGCTTGAATTCTGTGGGCAGGAATTGTGAAGCTGGCCAATTGGCTTTAATATGACACTTTGAAAATATGATGTTGTAAAGATTAAGTGGGTATAAGCCAGCTAAGCAAGTCATAAATGTTTATATATATATGTATGTGTGGATGGATGTATATATGTGTACATATGTACTGCAAATACATATGCTATATAATGCTAGTGAGAAGGCAGGAAATTTGAAGTCCTGATTTCTCAATTTGTACTTCAGGCATTGTCTCAGTTGGTTTAAGTACCTCTTACACATACAATTTTTTTTATACTGTGCCCAGGGAATAAACGTGAAAAGGAAGAAATGGAAAAAAAATCTGTTATTTTTTAAAATAAATTAAACTGTTCATGGTTTGTTGCCTCTTGAAGGGCAGCATAAAAACCTAAGCCTGAAATATGTAGATTTCTTTTGATTTGATTGTATTGAAACTGATCTTCCAGGCCAACACATGGCAGAAAAATGTAAGAGCTAATTGAAAGAAAATTTCACATGTTAAATGAGACCTAGAGAAGCTCACACACACTGTGGAGCAAGAATCTGCATTTTAACTGTGTGTGTGTGTTTGTGGGTATACACCACCATCGGAGGTATTTCTTCACAACAAAGTCCAAATGCCTAGATTAAAATGAAGGTTTGATTTCACCTGGGTCTGCTTATACCAGTTCTGCTCATTTCTGCTAGATTTGGTTCACCATTCTGAAGCTCAAGTTTTCAAAAGCAAACATCTTGTGTTGTTTATCCATTCATGCAAGTTTTGGCAATGTTACCTAACGATATAGTGCTTGAATACCTCTCACAGATTTCAAAATCAAATCTTCAGAAAGGTAAATGGCATCATAATAGTCCATTCTACTTTCATCAGAGTAGCTGTGGCAGCATTTCTTGGTTTTCAAACTCTCAGTATATGTTCTCGCTCTTTGATGTTTTATTCTCAATCTCTTTTGAGTTCATCTGTTTGTTTTCACTCATTCTCCATAACTAATTTTACTTGCAGTTGTGTGAGACCAAAATCAAGCGACTGAGTGTTGCACTTCAATATTTACTCAGTTTAAAACAAACAAAAGGGATTAGACAAATTCATGGAAAATAGACCTCACAGTGATTGTAAACGCAGTGGTTTAACTGTGACCTCCAGTTCAGTCAATCCTTCAGCTTTCTGGGGATTGGACATAATATAACAGCTTTAGGGCTGATTTGTTTCTTGTACTTTTTTTCCTAAACATCTATTATTACCCTGCCACCTTTCTAGGACTTGATCTGAGGTTCTTTGGACCTCTGTTCTCACATCATAACTGTGATGATGCTCAATATTAAGTTATTCTAGCACTTCTCTTTGATAATGAGAAATTTGTGTCTCCTGCTTCTCTGCCAAAGTCACAGGTAAATGACTAAAGCAATTTTGGATATATGATGAAGTTCTAGACCCCTGTGACCGAGTCACTGGTATGAACGACACACTTCTCTAATTGGGCACCAAGTGGAGGAGGGCAAACATTCTTATCTCTTCCTCCTCCTCTTCCTCCTCTGAAAAACCCTCACTTGTGTCAAATAAAAGAGCTTTTTGGTACTGTTCTGACAAAACTCTTGATCAATCTTCCTACAATAATGTGTGCACCCTAAAGAGTTTGGAATGAGCTGTGGTTTTATAGTATAGCCCTTCTGTCCTTCCTTCTCTTACCTCTAAAGTAAGAAACTTCTTGAAGAACAGTCACCAGAAATGAATGTTTAAAATAAGAGTGGTAGGGTTTGTAAATAGTAGGATAGCACTTGCAAAGTGTGCAGCCTCACTGACTGTGGCGCTTGACATATGGTTGTGGAAACAACATACTGGAAACTGAGAAAGTTATTCAGGTTAGGAAGCAATACTTAAGTGGCCTGCATCTTCACAGTACCTAAGCAAGGTAATATGTTGCATGAAATACTACATACTGCTTTTTGGTGTCTGTGATACTTAACTGACACTTTATTTTTTTGCTCAGTTTTTGTTCTGGGTCCTCAGTATCATGATACTATAGTGCCACCTCCTCTGAAAAGACTCCTTGATCTAAAGGCAAGAATCTCTATTAAAAGAGCTAAGGAAACTGTTACATTGAAATGAGGATAGAGTCCTATCAGCAGAATTGTAGAAATCTAGGAAGGTGCTGGAGGACAAATGGGAACATAAGTGTCCTGTATACATTTGTGTGCAGCCAGTGTGCTCTACTAGGCAGTCCAATCCAGTGGGAAGAGATGTATCATAAGCAGTCTGTGGTGCTAGGTTATTCTGTCAGACTTTATGTTTCTCTTTCATTGTTTGTTTCTGCCTTTGGACAGGAAAGATTTTCAAAAATATTGGTTCAACTGTCACAAGCTTATTACCAATGTTATCCAATTATTTATATAGAAGCTTTCATAATCCGTTCTTTTTCCTCTGCAGAAGCTCGTTGTATTTACATGGCAAAAAATTGAACTTGCCTGGCAAGTGCCATTTTAAATCAATTTATTTCAAATGGCAGAAGCTTGCAGACATTCTAATTTTGGCTTAATAGCTTACTTGTGTTCTTGATAAATGAGTTTCTGAATATTTAAGCCAAAGAAATCTAGTTTAATAAAGCTAATTGGAAGTAGTTTGATCTACAGGCATTTGGACTTTGTTGTTAAGAAATACCTCCCATGGTGGTGTATACCCGCAAACACACACACACATACACACACTGTTGAAATGCAGATTCTTGCTCCACAGTGTGTGCAAGCTTCTCCAGCTGCAGACAGTCAGAATGGTTCTCTGTGCCAGTGGTGGTCCCTGGCTTGCATGCTTATACAGCTGTTTGCTTGCATAACTGACTGAAAAGTCAGGTTCCCTGTCTTGTGAAAATGTCTTGACTGCTTCTTTATGCCATGTCTCACCTTTGTTTCTGGTGTTTGAATTATTTTTTATTTCATAATACTGAGATTTCTATCACTGTGTGAACTTACAACAGTAGCTTCTCACAAAACCCTACTTCAGACTCCACTATAACTGCCTTTCTCCTTTAAAAAATCGAACCTAAATGTGTCTAAGTGACAGGCTAAGTTTTGTGTCTACACTGATGTACAGTGTGTAGTTTGAATCTAGGAATATTCACTAGGATGGAATCAGATAAATTACTTTGCTGCAGAGGCATAGCTTGCTTTTAATTCACCAGACTGGGCTGTTTTCACAGTTTTTCTTTTTTTTGGCTGGTCTGGCTCTCTAATTGAGCAAGAGCTACACTTCCTGGGATAAACAAGGAGAAAAGGAAATACACAGAAAATATAGGGATCCAGAGGAATCTCTCCTTTTCTCCTGTTCTGAGTCCAGCTGCCTCCAAACCTCCTTTTATAAGCTTCCTCATTAGTTCTTCCTTACATTGCAGGTACCCTACTGTATGTCCTACTATTTCTTCTCCAAAAGCAGGTTAACTTCATATGCATATGTTTTAACTCACATCTGCTTGTAGAGATGCAGAGCGCCAAGGAGAAGTCCCTTCCACCTCACCCAGTGTCTGCAGCACAACCCAATGAGATGTCTTGGCAGAAGCTTGCTCTAACAGCTGTTCTCATCTGGCATTGCCCATACCTGATATAATCCAGGATAAATGCTAAGAACTGATTATTGATACTTTGAGGTTGAAGACCAGGAGCATTGATTAAGCACTGCAAAATAAACAAACCAGCTTCCATAAACTAGAGTAATAGTTTGGAAGGAAACTGATGCCCTAGCTGTGTCCTGTTATTGGAACAAAAAGAAACATGAGAAATATGTTTTATTTTTCAGTAACACAGGCAACAACTGCCTGCACTGGATAATGTTTTTAGTTTAGCCTCCAAGAGAGCATGCAAGTCCAAGAATATTTGTTACCTAGCTGGAAACAATTAGTATGTTGTTCATCTGCCATGCTTCATGAAGAAAGTGCAAACTGAGCACAAAGAATCCCCTATTCTCTTCTGCAAGAAGAGAAGAATTTTAGAAGAATTGACCTAGCAAATATTTTATTCAAAACAAGAACAAATACAAAGTATCATGAGATTGCTTCTGTCGAGACTGTAGGAAGGGTTCAGAGATCTGACACAGGGGGAAAATGAGCAGTTGAATAAATCCAAATTGATACGATTTTGGCAGGTAAAGTTTAAATAGTCAAATATTTCCCCTTATGACAGAAAAGGATATTTAGAACAAAAGAAGAGTGAATAAATGTGACCTGTGAATGAAAATCTTCTAGTCCATTGCCTAAAACTAAATCAAGAATACCACAAAATACACTGAGGGGACTATAAGCAATTTCAGTACATTTGCTAATACTGGAAGCTCCCCATTCCCAAGTACAAGTTCCTCCACCCCATCCCTGTGCAATTACAAAGTCTGCTCATGGCAGTGTGTCACTTAACACCACGAAAGTCAAGTGGAGAATTAGTGAAGCTTAAGCTACAGATGGCAAAGCTGAACAAGTTTACAAGTGTCACTGAATCAGATGAACCTTTTTGTTGTACAAAGGCTACTGGTTCAATGGCGTTTGAGAGGCCACAGTTATTGTTGCAATGCCTTTGAAATGGAGTGCCTTCTGCGGTATCCAGTGTGTAATTACATACCTTGTATGGAACAAATTACTGCAATCTAAGAATAAAGAACTTGATCCTGCTCCTGGTGATGTCATTAGGAAAGCATCACTTAAAACAATTCCATGGTGTGGAAATGTTGTTTCACAAATGAGGACTGACCTCACCCTTACATATGTGGTTGTCAGAAGATTCGTGGGTTTAGGACCATAATATGTTTTTAGTGTATTACAAGTGTTCACCAGAATGCATTTATTAAAATTCTGGTGACTGACGTCCACCCAACATCTTATTTTATGCTTTATTCCAGGAGGTGCTACCATTTTTAATAGATTGCACCTGTTTTCTGAGAATGAACTTAAAAGTAGGAAACACCTTTTGTCCTGTTAAATCTTAAGGCTAAGACAGCAGTGATGATGAATCCCATGAGGCCCCATAAATCTGTAGGGATCCAGCTGGAGCAGCAGATCCTGCACAATTTCAGGATCTACTGGGAGCTGATCATTCTCGCAGTCATGGTCCTCCAGCTCAGAGCACTGAGACCCCCTCAGCATTTAACCTCAAATATGTAACAGAGATGTTCACAGTTGTTCCAGAATATTAAACTAAGTGACACTCATTCCATCTCCAGTCACTAGCACAGACCTCATCACAAAGGAATTGTTTTGAAAAGCTCCTCCCAAATTATGGTCATAACCCCAATGGTCAGACAGATGGTTTGGAGTAGATAGGCCAAGAAAACCGCCAACAGTATTTTCACAAAATAAATCTTAATGTGTCTTCTGTAATTCAAACAGATATGTGTCGGCCTTTGGAGAAGGGCAGCTGGAGTCTTACAGTTTCTTTACGTTTTATTTTGTTATCTCATGAGTGACTTGTATTTTTCATGGCAGAATTAATGTGTAGTCAAATAAAACATCTTGGATGTTTTTATTTAATCTTCACAAACTCAGATGAACACTGTGTATTATGCATAGCATTTCCAGTCTCATGCTCTATGATACTATGGCCTTGCATCATTTATGAATAATCTCATTTTATGCAGTACTTTCATTTCATCTCTACTGTTCTTTGCTTTTTGCCATGGCCATTTCTCTTGCCCATCAGTCTGCATTACTCTTTAATTTTTTTCCATGGATAAACTTCTTGGTTTTAAGGGTAAGCTATCTGTAGATATTTGCTGGGTTTTGTGGAGGAAAAAAACCACAACAATCTCAGTAAGTCATGTTTTCTCATATGCAAAAAAATAGTCTCCTAATAAAATGGAAATTACATACAGAGATACATAACTTGCCTATAAAAGTGAGAAAATACTTTGAGTTGAAAACATACATCTAATCCCCACTGGAACCAAAATTTCAGTCATTGGCAGTATTAGTATGTGTCAAGACAAAGTGGATCATAATTTCTGTTCTGTAGATTTCAACATTTTTGCACATTTAGAAAAAAACCTAAAATTTCAGACTCTTAACATTGCCAGGTTTTGTTAGATAACTGAAATTCCTTTATGTATTGCAGGTTGTCTTTGTCAGCTTGTGTAAAAGCTTTTGGGATTGTGGACTTGTGGCACTGGATGATGTATCATTGAGCCTGGGAAGCTGCCAGGCTGCTGGTAAGACCATTTGTATTTGTCATCCAACTGCTGGTATCCTTTTTAGTAAGAGTTCATCACATACCTTCATTTTCCAAGCCTATCCCTACAGCTGCCTTCATCCCACTGTGGTTTCTTGTATTTTCTTTTTTTCCAATGAGCATTGCATAAATCCTATTTTTGCAAAGTAGCATACGTACCAGTATTTGTTCACAGGGGTACCAACTAACTCCTAATAAACTTCGCTGACTCCAGTGAAGCTGTATATAGGTGAGTGGTCCTTTTAGGGTGTTACAATTTAAAATAAACCAAAAGTCCAACTGAGGGAAAAGTAGTTTTCAAAATGGATTTTGACAAACCAGGATTGGACCCAAAAGCAATATTTTCAAAAGACAATATTATTCTTTTTTAGTCCAGAAGTACAGTTGTGCAAGGCAAAGACACAGTCCCTTACTTGAGCTGCAGTTCTCTAGTGAAGACAGATAAGATCAGTCCAACTCTCTCTCCTGTAGTGGGAGGAACTGACTGTTTTTCAGCAAGACTTTACCCTCTGACATGTGCAGGCTAACCTCTCTGAACTCACCAGACTCCCTCTTCTGGGGCATTTTGAAGTTGACAGTACAACGATTGTATCCTAATTTAGAAACCATTCTCATGAGGCAGGCACAATCTATAATCCCATTCTTCTTCAGAATAAAGCCATATCTTTGCAATGGTCCTAATAGCTCTTTAATGACCTTTTTTGATTGGCTTTCATGCATTCAGGCAGCTAACCATTACAAAACAGAGAGAAGTCACATGTATAAAACAAGATGCCATTTTTCTAAAGCATTTCCAACAGTTGTCTGTTTTGCCTTTCTGTAGTTCCTAAGTAATTGGAAAAGGAACCAAAGGTGCAGAACTGGTAACTGGGTGTATAATCATACTGAGGCTGTCTCTGATTGGAGCAAAACAAATGCCTGAAATATGCCCCAGAGATATCAAAGCTTCCTCCTTTTCAAAAAGTGAAAGCAGCTCAGTGTCTACTTCTGAACAACAAAACCAGGCTACAGCAGAAAAGCTGACAGAAGCTTCTTGGCAAGCACCTGAATTATCAACTTTCTCCCTTTTGCATCATCTAATAGAATTGAAGTGATGAAAATACTATAGTAATTACAGCTCCATGGCCTGTTGTATGCTGTAGTAGAATCTGCTGCCAAGGGAATATAGGAGAGCTAAACGTAGCACTTGATTTTAGATCACAGAAACTTCAGTCTTTGACAAGACTCATTAAATATCCACATTATACATTCTAGAGCTCATTAATCTGCTTGGGGTGCCACAACAGTGAAGAAAATTACACTGGTAGAGCCTGTTATGGAATCATAGAATTGCTAAGGATAGGAAAGACCTCTAAGATCATTGAGTCCAACCATTAAAACCAAAAGACCTCTAAGATCATCTAGTCCAAACCATTATTATTGATTAAGAGTAATAAACTGTATGAAATGTTTTCAAGAATCTTAGTACATGTTACTAAGCTAGACTAGAGCACAGATTACCTCAAAACAGTGAAGAAAATGAAATTACATTTCATTCAGTTTGAAGCTGGCTTTTATAAGCTTGTGATTATTGTAAGCATTGCTAGGTAGATGTTGATTTCAGCAGGGGAGTAAATGCAATACATTTTCTGTGTTATCTCTCCAAATATAGGTCTAATATATTTGAAGTTTTGAACTATGTTCTCTCCTTACAGATTCATTTCTGCTCAGCCCTGGAGAGTGTACTTTTGAAAAAGACGAGTGTATGTTTACCCAAAAGAAGAGAGGTCGTGGGAGCTGGCACAGGAGGAGGGGTCCAACTCCCACTTCTTACACTGGTCCAAAAGGAGACCACACTACTGGGGTAGGTGAGTTAAGCCCCACATTGAACTTTCAGAACAGAAGTTGATAGTTAATCAAAAATACTTTGAAATTATAACCTTGATGATAGAGAAAGTATTTACGCTTCTGTTCAGAAGAGGTATTAATCCAATGAAGTAAACACATTTCGTAGGGACCCATGAATGGTTTTGAAAATGTGATGTTTAATCTGAAATATCTGCAGACTATGTGGATAGTTCTGTTGTCACATCCTAAAGTAGCCCTTTCCTTTGGGAGATAAAAGAACAGGATGGCTCCCCAGAGTTCGCAGAAAAAGCTCCTTCCAAACTCCTAGCTTATGTGAATATTTCCTGAAACTGACTTTTCACCTATTTTCAGTTTATATAGATCATTAAGTAGCTGATAGCTGAATAGCTTGACTTTAGAACTTTGACAGCCTTTTAAGCCTCCTTGTCTCACACATCTCTTTGCAGCACGTTGTGCAAGTGATTGGGATCTCTTCTGCATGAACATACTTTGGGTTCAAACTTAGAAGAAAACATGGCAAATAAAAGAACTCACACAGGCCCTTTGTCTCGAAAACCTGCTTCACAACCTCACTAGTGTAATTTAAAGTATTTGGCCAAGTGGAGTCCCCATTAGTATAAGCAAGTGCACAGAGAGCTACATCAGCGCCAACCATTGCGTAAATTGTACCCTCAGATGTACATGGAGCTGTCTCCAAATTCCAAGGAATCGATTGCCATCAGAGTGCATTCCTGGTTTAGGAGCAGCTATGGTATTTTCTTGCTTTGTATTCTTTTCTGTTGCTGTGTGTTTCATCAGACAGAACCAAGTTTTTAAGTGTTCAAGTCATTAATCGCTGGAAGGCAAATTTATTATACCCCCCCAATCTATCATTCAGCTATTGCCCGTTGGAGCAAACTGAGGTGTATCAGAAGACTGAGGAGCATCCCCATGTCCCATATGCTGCATAAAGCAGCTGTTCCATGTTTTGAGATGTACACTCTGAGAGCAGACAGTGAACCCAGACATTGCAGCAACTCTTTGTGTAGTCCCACTGCTCCCTTTTTGTGGTGTTATCTGCCCTTCTGCCACCACAGATCTGGGGGTGAGACTGCCTTCAGAGGGAGAGGGGATTCCCAAGGATGAGTGAGATAGAAGAAAAGGTGGGAGCAGCAGCAGCAGCCAGTGGATACTTGAGATGTCTGTCATGATACTCAGAGTCCTGTTTTCTGCTCAACTCCCTACTGGAGACATCCCCTCTAAGCCAGATTGTAGTTTGGTAGTAAGCAGCAGTCAAGAGAAAGGATGAAAAGGAGTATTATCTACAGAGTAGGTCCATAAAGAAAAAATAATTTCATACAATGTGTTGGAGAATTTCCAAGATCATTTGTACCAAGTCTAGTGCAATCCATTGCAAAGACCTTGCTCTTCACTATGCTTAAAAGCTCCTTGAATTAAACACCAAAGCCTACAGCTCATATTAAAGTATAATAAAATAATTTGTCTTCAGTTTTAAGGCCTGAATCATATTAAAAACTTGTTAGAAAGACTGAATCAGCTCTTGCTTTTATGAATTCAAACCCACTATTATTACAGTCCACTGTTATTACAGTATCACAAATATTACAGTTCACAAACACTGCAGTCTACATCTTAAAAATCTTTATCAAAATATTTTGAGTCATAGTTTTTTTAATATAATGAGCATGTTGAGCATAATGAACATGCCGAGTATTTTACTTCGCTAATATTTGCTTGTATATCTTTTTAAGGGTACTACATGTATATAGAGGCATCTGACATGGTCTATGGACAGAGAGCGTACCTTTTTTCAAGATTACTAAGAGGAATATCTGGAAAACAGTGCTTGACATTTTTCTATCACATGTATGGAGCTGGGACTGGATTATTAAGTGTTTATCTAAAAAAGGAAGGGGATGATGAAGAGATTCCTTTGTGGAGGAGGACAGGGGAACAAAGCATCTCATGGCTAAGGGGACTGATAGAATATGAAAGCGACAGAAACTACCAGGTAAGAAAAACAAGCAAGAAGCAGTCAAATTGGAAAATTGAAATGAACTTATTAAAGACATGAATCGTTTGCAAGTATTAAAATAGTTATTAGCTCAAAATAATTTTTTAAAGTATTTAAATGTTGTTTCCCATAATTTCTTGTCAGTAGTGGTAGGGTTGTTTTAGATCCCTTGTGGAATTTCTTTTCCTTCAGCTGTTTGTAGCTCTGTATAGATTTGACAGAGCCACTAAGCTATGATAAAATGGCAGCTTCCTGTAGGGTGGTCTTTCTAAGGTGGCACCAAAGACAAGGGATGATGCAAATCCAGAGCTCTTTGGTTTCAACATGACTTCACTATTGCCTTAGACAAAACCCGGTTCAGTTTCTCTGTGAAAGAGGAAGTTGAAATTGCTAATGACTAAAACAGCACTGGGCACAAAATTGCACTGATCACCATCCACAAATGTTGTGGAGTTTTTTAATCACTTTCCCTTAAGAGCTTAAAAATTACTAAGGAAAGGAAAGGAAAAAGGAGAGGGAGACCATACTTGCTTCTTTCAGCGTAGCACGCACTGAATTGCTCTGACTAAGCTAATCTGATGGAGGACAGAACTTTCTTTCCAAGAAGCAAGCTTTCAGGACACACTAGATCCTTGAATTGGTTGCATGCCTGTCATTTTTCTGAGTCTGTCCACCTGTGGGATTCATGAAAAGCTGTGTCTTACCTTTACAGATTATTTTTGAGGTGATCCGCGGTGTGTCAATGAGAAGTGACACTGCTATTGATGATATTCTGTTCCAGGCAGGACCCTGTTTAGGTAAGTTTAAATATACATCATAAGAGACACCTGGCAATTCACAGTGCTTGTTTTAATTAGATGCATGATACTTCTTCCCTTGACTCCCCATTGAATGGGTTTGAATTTAGTATTTAGTAACTGCTGGGTCAGTGCAGAATTTTTGCTTTCTAATGCAATGTGAGATCATACTCAGACTCAGCTAGTAAAGTGGCTGTAATATTTTTTAAAAACCATATTGCAGTCCCATTTAAATCCAGCAAATTAATTGCATTCTGCTTCATGCGTTCTTATGTATGATTAAAATACAAATAATTATGGTCTTTCCTCCTATTTTGTATTCTAGAAGTGGAAGAAATTCAGTTCTCATCAGGCTATCCTGACAGCTTAAACGAAATTGAGTATTAAATACAGTCTGCTGAAAGAAAGTGCATAGACTGCCTACTTTAAAATATGTTTTAAGTAAATACTGGATTGGTTTGAATATGCACCAATACATA